AAAAAATGAGCACTGAACAAAAGCGCTTTCTATCTAGAAAATGTTTTATAAAAAAAAAAAATTATAAAAGTTTAAAACTTTTGAGATTTTTTTTTTTTTTTATAATAAAAAAAAAAAATAAAACAGAAAATTAAGGTTTACAAATATTTGTAAGAGAATTAAACGTGGGCTATAGCTAGTAAAAAATAAAATACTGTAATAAAAAATAAAAAAATTTAAAAATGTTGAATTCCACGAGAGAAAAAAAAGCAAGACACACAAATATATAAAAAAAAATTTTTCTGAATAGCCTTTGTTGTATCCTTTTTTATAATTTTTTTTTTATTTTTTTTTATTTAAACAATATTCACTCAGTTTTTTTGTGTTTTAAATGTAATTTTTATGTAGACTTTTTCATTAATTTTCCCTGATCTACGAAAAAAGAGAAAAACGGTTTAGGAAAAAGAGAAAGGAAACAAATATAAGTAAAAATTTTTTCTTTTGTTCTTGTTTCTTCCTTCATTTTGTTTACAGTTAAAAAATTTTCTATTAAATTCTAAAAAGGAAAAAAAGAGGTGGTGATATTTTAACACTGCATAATAAAATGAGTGAGAAAATTAAATTTTTTTTTATTGTTTATTTCTCTCTCTTTTTGTTTTTCGGTACTCTATTTTTACTAGTTGCTTATTAATTTTACATTTTACTTCTATTTGTACAATTAAAGTGAATTTTTGTTGTGTTTGAATGAAAAATTGCTTTTTCAAGTTATTTTTCATGTTTTTTTGGTAATTTACCCAAAATTTGTTATTTAATTTTTAATATTTAGAATAATTTAAATTGCGTTATGAGTTCACTCTATAGAAATTTCGCTAAAAATTTAATTAATTTTTTATTAAATTATTAAAAATTATTTTATTTAAAATTTCGATTCATTTGATAACAGGTGGAATTAGAAAATATTGTCAGAAGTAAAAACCATAAATAGCTCATAATTGCTCATTTAGCTGGTTTGTTTAATTATAATCAGGACTCAGCTCATACTTATACTGATTTAATATAATCATATTGAATTTTATAAAATTGCATTATAACTTGATTTCTAAAGACAATTAATTTATTAGAGATTTTATTGCCTCTTTTGTTTTGAGCGAATTTTTCCCTAAATACGTTAAAGATAACTGAGTTAAATTTGGGCTCAACTAAATTTTGATATTTGATTTTAAATTTAACATAGTAGTATTTGAATGTTTCAAATCAAAATTCAATTTTCAGATTTTTGTTTTATTTAATTTTAAGTATAGACGCCAGAGAATAATAATATATCTGAATACGTGATTGTAAAACTATATGATACTGGTACGGAAAAATTTGTTTTTATTGCATCGGAGTTGTGTGTCAATGTTTCCTGTTTTGTTTCCTGTAATGTTAATGAATGTGCCAAACTACTTGCATTTTTAATCTCTAATAAGATTTTATACGTTTTCTAGTAAGTTCGAGTAGGTTTAGTAGTTACTATAGGAATAATTTTTATTGGTTTTATTGGTTATTAAATTGGTGAAAATTAAATCAGAATTTATTTTTTTGCTCTAGTACTCGTATTCACTAAAATAAATTTCAAAATTTTTAAATTTTAAAATTTTGAATTTCTATAATGTTAATTAATAGCCTTTAGACCTACTTTACTAATTAATAAAATATTATTAAAAACTTTCAACTCTTTCTAAATTTTAAAATGATTTTTTTTTTATTTTGCTAGTAAAAAAATAGTTCTGGTAGATTTAAAATTTAATTTGCCTTCTTAGTAGTAGCTTACATCATAAAGAATGTGACAAACTCAAAAACATATTTCTACTCATATTGTTGTTGTTATTGCTATTTTTATTACTCTAACAAAAAGAACATAATTTTTTTAACCCTTAAATAAAACGGTTTGAATTTTTTTTTCATACTTAAACTGGTAAAAAGAATAATGAAAAGAACATTTTAATTTTAGCACAAAATACCAAATAGAAAATTTTAAAGTACATTTCTCTCCTCTTCTAGTTTTGTTAAAAAAATTTCAATAGCCATTTTCATTTTAATAAAAAAATAAAATAGAAAAAAAGACAAATAAATTTGATGTAAAAAAAAAATAATAATAAAAATAAAGAGAAAGTAAAAATTGTTAAAAATTTTTGAAAAGAAACACAAAGAAATAGAAAAAAAAAAAACAAAACAAAAAAATGTTTAATGTTAAAGTAAAAGTAAAAGAAGCACGAGATAAATCAAGTTCTGGTGGATCTCGTTCACCTTATTCATCTTTAACAAGATTAGCGAAACAACGTTCATCACCAACAGCAAATTCAAATAAAACAGCACAACATAATACAACAAATAGTAGTATACGAAGTTCTATAATATCTAATGGTAATAATAGTAGTAATGGTAGAAGTCCTTATAATTCTTTACAAAGAAATCAAAATAAAAAAGTTGTTAAAATAGTAACAATAACTAAAGAAAATGATAATGGTAAGAAAACAGTTATTTTGACTTTATTTTTTGTTCATTTATGAATAACCTTAGTTATATATAAGTACACATAGTATATTAAGTAAAAATTTATATACGGTCAATGTATATTTGTGTTTTATTTAATATTTTAAGGATAAAAGTACAGTAGTTACATAAATTTATTGGGTAAATACATCAAGTTTCGAATGAATGTGTACTCTGGTGTGTAAACTATGATAATACTATAATACAAATTAATTCAGCAATAAGAATTCATGAGCTGAATTGTGTAAACATGAAAATTTACAGAAATATTGTATTTTTACACAATTCAGCTTATAAGTTTTAATTGCTGAATTGTGTAATGAAACGTTAATACTGCGATTCAGATATCAGGAGCTCACATATAGCCTTAATATATGATGATTTTTAAAACTTTGCACTATTGTAGCGAGATATACTTAGTAGTTTATTTGTTTTTTAATTTAAGTAATACATTAAAAAACTGTATATATAATTTTTATACTGATTGCAAACTGATTGACATTTAGTAGCTGAATATTATTAATTTGATTGTTGGATCTATATACATTCATATGTACATTAATTTTTGATAATGCCGCAATTTGTACATTTTACTACAGTTTTTTGTACAGTTTAAATATCATCGTACTTCAAAATAGTAGTACATGTAAAACGCATAAATAAAGAGAATCTTAGTTGAAATTTCTGTAAACCTTGAGTAAAATGTGACTAATTATTATGACCAACAATTAGTATTTTCATTAAAATTCATTTTTATATTAAATTTTATTGAAAATAATATTTTTTAATTAAATTAACTAGAAATCAAATTTGTATTGCCATTTCGATTTGACTAGTACTGTCATTTAAATTCCAAAAATTTGTTTTAATATTATGTAAATAAGAGAAAATTAGAAAAATTTTATTAAGTAAATTTTTATTAGTTTGTAAAGGGACAAGAGTTGCCGTCGTGACAAAATTAACTACGCAATATAAAAGGTATTTCAAAACTTTGATTTTTTATTTTAATTAACAGAAAGGAAATTATTTAAATTTTTTTTTTTAAAATCTAAGGTAAATTTTCAAATGATAATATAAGAAAATATCTTGAAGCTGTCATTGTACCTGAAGTTTAAAAATTTTATAAAAATAATTTGGCGCCAAAAAATTTCAAAATTTTGTACTTAATTGTCACCGTGACTGGCAAATTATTAATATTACATTTTAGTATAATGTTATTAATTGGCTTGTTTGCGTTATGTTAGTTAAGTGGGAGTATCACTCTAAAAATTGAAATGCCTTGAAGTACGCTTCAGGATATAAAATCCAAATTCTAATTATTCTATAATACCCCAAAAATTTTGATATATAATTCGCAATTTATAAAATCGCAATAATGTTTTTAATTTTTAAAGGGAAATATGAAAAAAATTATAAATCAACTAAGAAAGTTACATTTCGTGAACAACCAGTTAAAAAAGATAGTACTGAAATTGAGTTCATTGAAGTAGAGAGTACTAAGAAAGAAGGTATAGAAATACCAATAAAATTTTTTACCATTACTTTGTATTTGAAAACATCTAGCTATTTATAGATTTTTCTTTAATTAATCTTATAAATTTTTTATTTAGAATTCCATGATATTTTATTTAGTGAATTTTAATTTTTCGTTGTAATTAGGATCATAGTGTAATTAGTAGATTGCATAACGCAGACGGTAGGTACATTAATTTTATTTTACGAATCAAACGGTTTTCGCGAATATTTTGGAATGCTTCAAATGTGTACTGCTTCAGAATTAAGCCCATAATTATAACAAGAATTATGGGATCCAATATAATCGCAACGTAGTGTAATTTTAAATAAAAAAAGTAAATATAAAAGTTACTTTCGAAGAATTTTCTTCTATTATTCGCGTACACAAAAAAACCAAAAGGAAAAAAATTGAAAAAAGGATTGTAACCTTTTTTTTTTATTCTGAATTTCTTGTACTCAAAGTTTGTTTTGTATACAATTGTTTTACTTGTTTTTCTTATTTTTTTTTTATTTTCTTTGAAATTAACTCGTGACTGGAATTTTTAACTTTTAAACCTCAGTTTTATTTCATTTTCTAATTTTTATATTTTATTTATTTTAGATTTTGTTTTTAAGTCAAAACCATTCTTTTTTTATTTCTATTATTCATTTTCAGTACAGAAAAACAAATTCAACTCATATATAAAAATAAAATTAAAAATTCATTTGATATTGGGGTTAAGTTTAGTACAAAATCATACAGAGAGGGAAAGAGAGAAAAAAAGAAAAAGACTAGACCTTTTGACTAGCATATACGACTAGACTTTACAGTTGGAAAATATTTAATAAAATATTTTGTCAACTAGCTTTATAAATATTAAAAACAAATTATAAGCATACTATACATTTTTATTACTTTTGCTACATTTAAAAAAAAACAAACATAATTTTATAATTTTTCTCATATTTTTCTTCTTCTTTCATTTTTATAGATAATTTAGATGGTGTTACTGAACTTAGAGAAGAACAACATGAAATACATATTGAAAGAACATCAGCTGGTTTAGGTTTAAGTATAGCTGGTGGTAAAGGTTCAACACCATTTAAAGGTGATGATGAAGGTATATTTATATCACGTGTTACTGATGGTGGTCCAGCTGATTTAGCTGGTTTAAAAGTTGGTGATAAAGTATTAAAAGTAAATGGTATACCAGTTATTGATGTTGATCATTATGAAGCTGTTGAAGTATTAAAACAATGTGGAGCTGTATTAGTTTTATTAGTTAGTCGTGAAGTAACAAAATTAATTGGACATCCAGTATTTAGTGAAGATGGTTCTGTATCGCAGGTTAGTTTCAATTTAATTTAATCTATATTATAATAAAATTATAGATATCTCAATATTATAGTAGTATCATTATTGAATTCCTTGATTTGGTTTTTATATGAAAATGCTGAATTTCAGCTTATTACTTTTTTTTTTGATTAATTTACAAATAGTATTAGCACAATATTGAATTGAAGCTTCATTCTGTTCTTGTTAATAATTTGTTGTTAAAATACATTTCTATTGCAATTAAAATAGTAAAAATTTGAGGTCTTAGAGGAAATTTTCATAGCATGGCTAAATTTATAGGGTTAATTAAACAAAATTAATATGAGCCCCGTGAGGTATGCAATTTTTTCCAATTTAATTATTTGCTCGTTATGCATGACTTATTTTTAAATATTTTTATATTTTCATATTATTAGCACTTTTCCAAAAAATTTTTTGAAAAAAGTGCTTATTAGTTTCACTCTGTCCGTCCGTCCGTCCGTCCGTCCGTCCGTCCGTCCGTCCGTCCGTCCGTCCGTCCGTCCGTCCGTCTGTCCGTGTGTCTGTTTACAAAACTTCTACAACTTTGAAGATAGAAAGCTGAAATTTAATACGTACATAGATCTTCACTAGAAACTTATTTCCGTAGAACAAAATTTTTACCTATCTCCCCCCCTCTAGAAGTTATACCCCCCCAAAACCCTAAAAATGGCCTTTTTTAAATATTTGTTGCAATGAAACCATAAGCATTTTTGAAATTTTGCAAACGCAGAAAGGCAGTGGCTTGCTTCCCCTTGCGCGGTATACTATAGTTCAACTTAAGAAAAACAAAATGGCCGCTCAAATTTACCGTTATTTAAAGTCTTTTTTTTCCAAATTTTTGATGTCGTTTTTCTTCTAGACCCCAGCCTGTAGAAGCTTGAAATTTTAGGAGCTTATTATCTAAATATTAATATCTAAATATTAATAAATAGTTCATTTTGTTAGAAGAAAATTTTTTTCCATCTCCACCCCCTCTCAAGTTATCACCTCTTGAAATTCGTAAAATTTGAATTTTTGACACCTTATATTTCCGAAACCGCAAGCTTTTCCAAATTTTTATGAACGCAAGAAGCTAACGGTAAATTCCATGAAATTAAAAAATATAATTATTTTTCTTAACTCACACAATTAACCCTTAAAATCGAGCATTATGTTAACCCCTTTTTATATTAATTTTTGCTTTATTTCAAAGACTGCATATATGCGTCATCCTAAATATATGCAATCCTAGAAATAGTTTTGTATATGAATGAAAACAATTTTAATAGTGTGATAGCTATACATAGACTGTATTTAAAAGCAGAATTTTCACTTGTTGAAGGGAAAAGTGCTACAATACAAACCATTGGTTTGACCCAACTTTATTTTTAAATTATTAGCAAAAAAAATGTGACCTTAATTAGTAACTTTTGCAAATCAAAACATTAATTTTTATAGATTCAAGCGATAAAATTCAAGGTGAATTTGCGAATAATTACTTAACATACGAGTATGGTTGTATGATAATTGTTAAGAGGATGTTATATTGAATGCACTGCTATACACTACTGTGTACACTAAACATTAATAAATATCTTGAATTATAATTTTGTAAATTTTTAAAATATTTGAAAATTTCATATTATTTTGCAAAATAAGTTATTGCTAGAAATCAGTTGATTTTTTATTTATTTTTTAATTTGTTTTTAGACAAATATGAAAATTCGGTGACACTTTACATAAAATAACAAAGGTAAATAGTAAAATTTTCAAATTTAAAGGCACATTAGATATAGATCTAAATGCAAACCTACAAACTAAAAGTGTCACTTTCAAATTAAAAGATCATTAGAATGCAATAGAAGTCAATTGTTAAGTACTAACACATCATTCAATTAAAATCTCATCGAATATTCTAGTAAAATTTCTTATCTGTTTCCATTTTTCTTCTTTTCAATATTATAATTGCATTGTGAATTAGATTGGGTAAAGCCTTACATATAGCACAATATCAAAAATTTCTACTTAAAACTTTATTTGTTAAGAGTTAAAGGGATGCAATTTTAATATATGCATTTCTATTGGTAAATGTTGATTGTCATTTTAGTGATTTATCAAATGAACTTTAGTACAAAGTGTTTAGTCACATAAATTTTTATTCAAGATTTTAGGAAATCGAGCAGTTGCAGTAGTAACAAAAATGAGAAATAAATTAAAATTTTAAATAATTTCGAAAGTATTTTTAGGAAAATGTCTTAAACCTTTTTCAATTGGATTTATTAAATTTTACAAAATTAAATCGTAATTTCCGAAAATAGTTTGTACCGTTCGTAATATTGGTAATGTTTTTTTTTGCCTTGACCGAGGTCGTTAGGCTCTTCTCACTTTGACCCATAGGTTCTTTTGTGATTCCCATGCCAATGTACATAAACCCTACACCTAGGTCCTGACAAACCGCAGTGTATCAGCTACATCAAATTGCGAGGTCCTCCGCAGGGTCACAAAGTCCTTCCCGGAAGAATTTCAGTCGTAGGCATTACGACTAAATCGCCTGAAAATGTTACGCTGCGATGTAATCGAAATAAAACCTAAAATATAATTGCCATTTTCTTTGATTTATTAGCATTTCTTTCTCGTTTTTTTTTCAATTAAATGCTCTCTCATATGGGTGTTTATTTTGAGTCATTTATTTTCTTATCTTTCTACATGCTTCACTTTACAAATTATTTCCTGTTTACTTTTTTTTATATACTGTTGTCAAATATTTTATATATTAAATTCAAAATAATGTACATATCTACATATATAAACATTATATAAGTTATAAATATAGAGTCTTATATTAAGGTTAAATTTTTTTTAATATATTTTTTAAATTGCTCTTTTCATTCAACATTTTTCTTTTGTTTATATTGTAGATATCCGTTGAAACCCGTCCATTAAATTTAATATCATCTGCAACAGTACCAGCACCAATAGCTACTACAGTAATATCATCAAATGTTGGTATACCAACGGTACCAATTGATAATATAGTACAACAACAACAACATTTACAAACACAACATAATATTATACAACCATCAGGAGCAAATAATATTCCTGGTGTAACTGGTATAATACCAACATCATATAATCAACTACAGATAACATCAGCGCAACAACAGCAACAACAACAACATCCTGATATTCATGGAAAAATAATACCGCCACCAATTGAAATACCTCAAAATGCAATTATATATACGACATCACAACAAAATTATCCTTTACAGCAGCAACAGCAAGTTGATGGTGGTGGTAGAATTCTTCAACCGCAACAAATTATATCACATCATATAGATACTATGGCAACAACACAGGGAACAAATGGAATTGTTGAAAATGGCAAGGTAATAAAAATTAAATAAATGAAAATTGCACAAAAAAAAAAAAAAGAAAAGTAAATTTAGGATTTTTTTTTTCGTTACTTTCTTCTTATTGTCTTATTATTGTAACCATTACTTCATTGTGATCCTTGAACCAAAACTCAAAAAAAAAGCAACTCTTAAAATTATTGCATGGCATATTTTTTGATTGAAAAAGTTTTTTTTCTCTTTTTCAATTTTTTTTCCTGTTTTTTGAATTATAAAACCATTGTTAGTTCTCTTCTATTTTTTCTTTTTCATTTTAGAAACGGAAATGCTCTTTTTATGGCATATGAAATGAGTTCAAGTTCTTGAAACACATATTATACGATTTTGTTTTCCCCAAAATTTTTCCACAAGAAAGTAAAATGAATGAGTTTCCCTTTAAATGTTTTCTTTTTTATTAATTTTTATACTTAAATGGTAAAACTTGAATTCTTGTTCCATGCAGACAGCGATAATACTTTTCAGTGAAATTCATTAAATATTAAAGAGAAATTTTTCATTTAAAAGTACTCCCAATTTACTATTTTACCCAGAATGCGTTTTTTTTTACTGTATGAATTTTGTTAAAAAAAAAAATGGGAAAATTTTTTAAAGAAAAATGTGGAAAAATTCAAAAAAAAAAAATTGTTTTCTCGTTTCAAGAATGCCAAAATGTGATTTAAGAGAATTAAAATAATGCACATTGCAGCACAATGTGTGTGCTTGTAATCTAATATATTTATATATAAGTGCATGATATGTGAAGTTTTAAACTCGTAAATTTCATTTTGTTTGGGAGTGAATTGAAAAATAAAATAAAAAATGATTATTTGATATACGTTTATTGTATAAAATCGGATATCATTTTAATTTAACATCTTTAATTCTGAATTTTTTCCCTTCTTCCTCCTAAAGATTTACTGTAATATATAGAATAAATTTTGTTGTATAATATTGTAAAATTGAAATGCACTTAAAAATTTATTACAATTTCAAATTGAAGTAATTAAATAAAATTATTTATTAAACATTAGTTCGATTTGTTCCTTTTTTTAGAAATTTTGTAAAAAGTATTTTGGGTAAAATGCTGGAATTTTTTATATACATATATTTTTTATATTTTAATATTTATATAGGTTTTCCGCACATGCATTTAATTCTAGTGATTATGAAACACAGTAATATAGTATTTGAAACTCACTTTAATCGCACTTAAATATTTTAATTTGATATTTTACTTTGAACTAGTTAGAATTAATAAAAAGCACCAATTTTGTTTTTTGCAATTGAATACACATTATACTTGCATTAATTGCCCTATAAGATTATTGCCCTATTAGTAAGTATTTTAAATTAATTGCAAAATTAAGCGTTCGGTGTTGTACAGATCGTCAAATTTTTGATAGATTTTGATTCAGATTTGCAATATTTTTATTCCCTCTTTGAAATTCAATATTTCAGAATTTTTTTTTTTATTAAATTTTAATTATGGTCTGAAAGTAATTTTATTCACATTAGTAAGCATTTAATTTGCTTTTTAAGTGTGTTTAAAATATATATTTTAAAGGCAGCATCTAGTTTTTTTGTTGCCCTATTTTTATTAACTTAAGGGACCCTTTTTATGAATGAAAAAAAAAGTGTTCACGTTAGTTGTTTAATTTACAATGAAACATTTGTAAAAATTTTATATTACAAAATGATTATTACGTTAATTGAAAGCGGATATATGTACGTCCATTTTTGCTTAGTAGAACACATATTCAGAAATTGGTCGGAATTTACAAATGTTCTCTAAGAATTAATGGGAAAAATTAATATCTATTATTGTTTAAATATGTTTTAGAACTTGAATTACATACGCTATTGCTAAATACTAGCCCGGAACGCTCATGTAAAACGAACGCTTTTTCATAGAATCAATTTCATTTAAAAATATAGCAGTCCCTTAATAAAAATTATAATAGTAAAAGTATAAATAAATTATTTATATAAAAAATACTCCATAAAATCATTCAACTGAAGCTTCCTTTGATATTAATTTAGTAGTAAAATAAATATTTTTTTTCTTCACTTTGCAATAATCACTTGGCTACTAAATACCACCTATATTAAATTCTAATTTTAAAATTTCAAAAATTTATCACGAATAACTATATTATTCAAAAATATATACTTTGCCCTCTGACCTGTGTTCTGATCAAACAAGCTCCATTAAGAAATTTAATCATTATTTTAAAATTTAGTAGTACATATTAAATAATTCGAGAGTTTTCTTTTAATTGAGTATTATTAATACCACTATTAAGTAAATCGCTTTTCTTGAAATATTATTTAAATTTCCCGAAAAGGCTAGTCTCTTAAATAATCCAGTGCTTTACGTAATTATTCAATTAATATTTTACCAAAAATTTTTTAAATATAAAAATTACAAATGCTTTTTAAATTTTTAAATTTCCAATATTAAACAAAAAATTTTTTTATTTTTAAGAGTTCATTAGCATTAAAAATTTTGAACCCATAATGAAATACAATTCAATTTTTCTAATGAGAACTGAAAATGTTATACTCGTAGTATCTTAATAACCTAATTAAACTCTCTAAATTACTTTACATCATCTCAGTTCATTTATTAAATTACTATTTTTTTTTTGCTTTTCTTTGAACTCGATAACGGTTTTCTTAAATTACCTCTTAAATTCTCCCTCTCTCTCTCTACATATATATTTGTTTTATACTTTATAAACAAACATTGTTATATTTATAAATAAAATTTTGATGCTACATAATCTAGATAAAAACAAAATCCTTTCTAAGAAAATATTTATTTTCTTAATTAAGAATCAGATGTTTATCTTCTATATTATTATTATATATTTGAGTAACTTGTATATGTATATGTATATGCATACAATATGAGTAATGAAATGCATCTCTTTAGATATATTATGGTTAAATTGTGTATATATTTGCTTTCATTATATTTTAGATAAAATATAATTATTAATTTTTGAAATTTACACCAAAATATTTAGTTATTATTAAAATAAATTTATATTATGTTTAATGTATATATATATATATAATGTAAGTGTATAAATATTATGTATATAATTATTTAATTTCAATTACAGCAAGAATTAATGCACAAAATAACTTTACATGCAACACTGATACGAGATCAAATTGGTCAAGGATTAGGTTTTAGTATTGTTGGCGGTAAAGGTTCACCACCATTTAAAGATGGTTGTGAAGGTATATTTATATCACGTATTACTGAAGGTGGTCTTGCACATCGTGATGGTAAAATAATGGTTGGCGATCGTGTTTTAGCTGTAAGTAAATTAACAATGTATTTAATGTGTTTTATTTTTTAATTTTGTTTTGTACATGTACATTTATCACATACATGCATACATAAAAAAGGGTATAAAGAATTTTGTTAGAGTAAAAAAGAATAATTAAAATAAATGTATTTAATGTAAATATAATATGTCTTAAGTGAACTTTCTAATTAATAAAAAAAAAATCACTCTGTTTTGATTTATTAAGTTTCTTATTTTTCTTTTTTTAAAGTAAATGTATAATAAAAATATTGAAATTATTTTGTTTTGTAGATAAATGGAGTCGATATGACGTCAGCACATCACGATACTGCAGTTCAAGCATTAACTGATCATCAACGTTTTGTACGTTTAGTATTGCAACGTGAAATAAAAGGAGCATTAGAAATACCACAAAGTCCACGAAGTCCGTCAATATTAAAATCATTAAGTCCGTCAGGTTATATGGCAAATAGACCAGGTATACGAAGTCAATTTTAATGTTTCAATTAATTGAAGTCTTTTTAATATTGAAAATATTCTTAAATACATTTTTCCAACATCCTTTTAAAGCTTTTAAAAAAAATATTCCAAAACATTTACTAATGAGAATAAAAGTACATTTTATTCTTAAGTTTCCCCGACATTTCTTCGAAGTTAAATTGAAATCAACATTGAAATTTTAAGAATTGAAAATATTTCATTCTGGCAATGCTAGATTCTGGCATTTGCTCATATTGCCATTTGCCTGTATTATGTCATTTGTGATTTTTATATTTTGGCATTAAAATGACAAGTTTGTAAGTTATAATGTCATGTTACAATACATAATATTAAAAAAAGAAATTTTAATTACTCGAACCTATGAATTTTCTATATTTTTGAAAACATATTAGATTTAAATTTCATTTTGAATTTTTTTGGAGAAGTTAAGGAATGTTTCGAAGAAAATTTAGAAATGTATGGTGAATTCACTTAGAGAATTGTATGAGTAACAAGGAAAAATTTCAAACGTATTAGATGTTTGCTCTTTATATATATGGAAACTTAATCTTCACTTGCAATATAAAAGTTAACAATTTATTTTAATTCTAAATTATTTCTTTTTAGGTTTTAAACGGTCTATTGGCGATTTACTTGATGAAACAAATCGTTATATAACATCACCACCAGCAACTACCGGTATAACTGGTACAACTAATTCACAAAATATCGAAACAATAAATCGTTTAAGTTATCCAAATACAACAACTACTACAACACTAACTGCAAATGAATATAAAACCAATGGATTTGAACAATTGCAACAACAGCCTTTAATAATGCAACAACAGCAAATACTAACAAATACACAGCAACAGCCGCATCAGCAGCCATATAATACTATTTTAGCAAATAATAATAACATTCCATTGCAATTGCAACAACAATTGCAACAGCAACAACAATTACAACAACAGCAACAATTGCAACAGCAACAACAGTTACAACAACAGCAACCACTGCAACAACAACAACAATTACAAAATATTATTGATAATAATAATTATGTTGCACCACCAATAGCATCCGATCTAAATCAAGCATTGATTTTAAATAATCAACAACAATTACAACAGCAATTGTTGCAACAACAGCAACAACAATATCAACAACCTGTACCAGCACCAAGACGGGTATCACCGTCATCAAGCATTCCAAACGATACAACACAATTACCGCCACCAGCTCGATTACAACAATCAAATCAAAATGGAACATCATCATCAGCATCAGCAGATGGCATAAACGAAAACGAAACACAGGTATGAAGCAAATCTGATGAATACATCAAAATAAATGTTTCTTTTTGAATAATGATGATGATGAAAAAAAAAACATTGTGATAGGGAAGAGATTCAGTTTTATATTAATTTTTTTTTTTGTGTTCTTAAATTCCCTTTATTTTTTTTCCTTTTTTAAAAAAATAAATATTATAATTATTGTTATCTACTATCGAGTTTTTGTTTTGTTATGGCTGAATTAAAATTTTTTCACAAAATTTTATTTATTCGCCCTCTAAAATATTTGTATTTTTTCTATTTTTAAAAAAAATTTTGAGGTTAAAAATTTTTTTTTGTGTGCATAATTATTTGTTTTTAACTTTTCAAAGAATTTTTTTTTTATATAAATTTTAAAGTTGAAAGAATCATAAATTATACAATTGTCATTGAATTTATTCACGTAATTTGGAAAATGTGTAATTATGTGATTTTGTTTGTCGAATAATTTAATTATTAATTGTAGCATAAATAGTATTTGCTTGTAGTATATATACTTTTGTATATATACTACAAGCAAATATATATTTGTATTTGCTTTGTAGTATATATATACAAAAGTAGTATATATACTTTTGAAAATAATAAATTTAATTTGTAATGAAAACAAGAATGTTTAATAATATTGAAAAATAATAAGCATCCAAATTTAATTTCAATGTAAAATTGCATATTTCAAATAGAAGCAGGAACATTTAAAATTAAAATTCTTGTACTTTATGATTCTTTAAAACAAAAAAAATAAAAAGTTGAAGGCGAAATATAATATTTAATTAATATTTAATATTTTATTAATTGAAACTTATATTTTCTTGAGCATATTATTTGTTTAATAAAGATTTCAAAATGTTTACTTAGAGAACAGGAGGATATAGGATATTAAAAGAAATTTTTGTTTTTAAATCACATTTTAATTTCAATACAATTAAAATTTTAAAATCATAATAAAATAAGATTAAAGCACATTTTATAAGAATAATTGCTGTATGTAATTTATTTGTTTTTTAAATCAAAAATATTTATAAAAATACCCAAAAACTTATTAAAGAAAATAGCATGAGTGAAAAATCATGAGTACATAAAGTTAATTTTTAAAAATTTTTAAAAATACTTATTGAACACCACAATATTATTATAAAATAAATTAAAAAGATTTGTTTTTTTATAAATTAGATGCGATAATTGTTATAATTTTATATATGTGATGGTTATTTATTTAAATAGGTATATAAATGCATATATAAATGCTATATTATATACTCTATATATGTACTGTTTTTCTTTTCAAAATTTTTATTTCAAAATTCTTTCTAATTATTGATTTTTATTTTTTATATTTTAAAATTAAGTATGTGTCTTATTTAAATGTTTCTTTTTTCTGTTAATTAATTTTTAATTTATGTTTTTTTCTATGTATTTATTTTTTTTTTTTGTTTAATTTTCACATTTTGTATGTTATTTTGTTTTTGTCTATTTTTATTTTGTGTTAAATTTTTAAAGGGAAAATTTTAATAACATTACAAAAAATAGCGATGTCTTAAATAAAATTTTAAGTAATAACATAATTTCAATATTTAGAAATATAATAACTTAGATTATTGAGGGGGATTGTGAAAGAAATTTTACAGGGGTATTTAAAATAGAAAAATTTGTTTTTCATTAGAAAATGAAGAAAGGGATTAATAATGTTATAAATTTTTGCGAGATAGTATAACTATCAATAATATAAAAGCTGAAAAAAAGAAATAATTTCAATCTAGAAAAAATAATGTAAGGAAATCAAGTGTTTAAAGATTATCATCTAAAATTATTGAAATTTTAAACTAAAAAACAAAAATTATTCAAAATTCTTAAAGGAATTTTTGAAAATCAATATTTTTATAAAGGAATTCAATGGCATTATCGTTTTGTGTTAAAATTACGTTGGAAATATATGCAATTGAATTATCGTCCATGTATCATGTATTTTATCACATTATGTAAAAACTGACTTTTCAGTCTAATCCTATTCTATAAATTGATTCTACATTAAAAATTAATAAGATTAAAAATAAGGAATTCATAGGCAAAATTGAATATTATATTTCTTAAAAAATTTAAAATTTTTATCATTATACTTTGCATATTACAAATTTATTTGATTTTTAAATTGAAAATCTTTCCTCCAGTTATTAGGGTTATTAGTTTTAATTAACTTATTCATTAGAGTTCATTAAAATTACTATTAATCGTCAAGATTAAATTTTACAATTCAATAAATATTATTGATAGTTTGTTTATTATTTCAAATTTAATTAAAATTTTTTAGAGTAAAATCACAATAAAATTTAAAATTTAAGAAGAATTCGTAGCTTAATCTAATATTGCTATCACTTTTTCTCTGTCGTTTATGATTTATTGTATGTACTAATAGAATGAATTGAAATTAATTATTAAAAAAAAAAAATAATAAACCAATAATTAATTAATAATAATTAATACTGAATGTTATTGTAATGGAATTAATTAAAATGAATTGTTTAGGTTGTAATTTCTTTAATTTTTAATCTACGTATTTAAAATATTGGAATGTAATTTGAGTATAGTTTGAAATTCTGATTTTGTTTTAGGTTAATTGTTTTAATTAAGGAATTATAACAATTGAAGAATATTGTCCTTTTAATTTTTCAAATCTACTTTATTTATTTTATTTTTATAAGTTTGATTTTTTTATGTTCTTTTCTTTCTTTTTTTTTCTGTTTTTTTTTTTTTGATTTTTTGATCGTATCAATATTATTGTATAATTTTACTAACAGGTAAATCAACCACCACCGAGACCATTAACAAGTGATGATTTTCAAGCAATGATACCAGCTCATTTTTTGAGCGGTGGTAGTCATCCACATAATGTGCATGTTGAGAAACATATTAAAGAAGGTCATAATGGTTTAGGAGGACCTTCTGTAACTGTCACCGTTAATAAAGCAGTACCAGATTTGCCGATGTTACCACCGGCACCAACTGAATTAGGTCGTATTACAGAAACAATAACAAAATCCACTTTTACAGAAACTGTTATGACCCGTATTACTGATAATCATTTAGCGGAGCCTTTAATTTCTGAGGTGTGTGTTACGGCTAAAGCACATTAATAAAAGCTGGATTGATGACATTTATGTTAACTCCTTTTTTTTTGTTTCGTTTTGGTTTTTTTTTTGTTTTGAGATTGATTTTTCTTTCGATTTATTTTGCTTTTAATTGATTTTTCATTTTTGATTTTTTAAATTTTATTTTCCTTTTTTTTTTTGTTTTAATTTGATTTTAAAATCAATTTTGTGAAATCAGTTTATTGCTTGATATTCATCATCTCATCTCAAAAATAATAATAATAAAAAAGAAAAGGAAAAAGAATTAGAAAAAAATCTAAAAAGAGAAAATATAAAACCAAAGAAAAAAGCGAAAATAAATAGAGAAAAAATACTGAAAGGAGAAAAAAAAAAGAAGTTTTTCATAATTAATATTTTTGTTTTTTATAAGTCTGGCACATTTAATAACAAGATTCACAACACCTTTGTTTTTTTTTTGTTTGTACTGAAAAATTCAAAATGCAAAATTAATATAGTTGAAAAATATAAATTCATCATTCTTAATATTGTGGAAGATAATTTACATACACATTATGTAATATAGAAATGAAATACATATTAATTTTTAATATAAAATATTTTAGTATTTCCAGACATAAATAATATAAATAAGACTAAATGATAGTTGTCGTTTATAAGAATTTAAGGTTATTAATTCTATAACCATAAAACCAGAACTAACCCAAAGAAAAAACCAAATTTTAAATTAAAGAAAAATGATTTAGTTAACTGAGGAGAATTTAACAAAATTATTTTGATTAAAGTTTCATAAATATTGAATAATATTCATGATAAAAATAATATAAAGAATAGCATTAAATAGCCATTATCATTTGATTTTTATTTCTTTTTCAATTACTTATTAGATTTAAATTAATACCCAATTTCTATTCCCATATTTATTTAAATTCTTCTATGAGAAAGCAATCATTTATTAAAATTTGCTAAATATTTCAAAATTACATACTTTAGAAAATTAAAATTCAATTTTGTTTTGATAAGTCGAAAAATTCGAAAAATTTTCTAATGAAATAATATCGTGAAAATTAACCATAATCCCAATTATTCGCGTATTATATAAGATATTTTCGAATAGTTTAAATATTATTTATTTTTTTTTTTTAAATAATTTTGTCTGGAAATAAGAAAATTACATAAAATATTAAAAAAAAAAAACATCACATCGTTAAAAAAAATTCACATACTTTTAATTTTAGTATTAATCTTTTAATTTTGTTTTTTCTATTAAAATTTAATTTAACTTTTATATTTCAAAATTTGAGAATTTTATTTGTAAATAAAAGTTAAAAATATTAACACTAAAATTTTAATTTTATTTTTCATTTTATTTATTTTTTTTTAATTGGTTCATTTTAAAGTTAATTTTTGGAGAAAAAAAACAAATTTAATTGCTTGATATATTTTTTTTTTGAAATTTAATTTTAATTCTTTAACTATCTTGCATGTTATTTTAATTTTTGTATTTTATTTATAACTTATAAATTATCGCAAAGTAGTTTTATAATGGTAGTGTTATATTTAATAAATCATTAGTATATGGATTTTTAGTGGTTGATTACTAAAATTTAATATTTAGAATAATATTAAAGAAAAAATATTGAAAATTTTAAAAGTGTAGGATTTTATTATAAAAGTATAAAAGTTAGTTTTTAAGTATTTTAAAATTTTTATACTAATTAAGAGATCCTTACTTAAAAATATTTCTGAATTCAGTTTAGAAGATGAATTATTAATAACCATTCCAAAATTTATTAACAATTAATTTGATTAAGGTTCAAAAATTTCAAGTAATTTCGAATGATACAAATATCTTCTAGAATGTATCATTTTGTAAATTACAATTGCGAATTATTTTATTGATATTGAAGGTTTTTTAATTGAAAAACCGATCAGTTTGTATGAAAATACGATTGAACTTTTTAGAAGTTGTACATAATATGAATTGTTTCCTTTTGATTTTATAGACACTGAAGACTAAATTCATTTTGTAATAAATAATTGTATTGTATAGTGCTTTTAGTAACAACTACAGATTTATAAAATAAGCCCATTTTAGAAATCAATAGAAATTTTTCAAATAGAATTGATTAGTTTGTTACATATTTACTATTATTACTATTAGAACCTTGGCCCTATCGCATTAATCACTTTTAGATTTTTTTTAGAATTTTGAGGAGTCTCATTCATTATTATTAATATTAGAAACTAGGCCCTATTACATTATTCACTTTTAGATGTTTTCGAATTTTGAAGAACCTCATTCATTAAAATGACCTTGTTGGCGATATTATCTTTGCTATATTTCAATTTAAAACGTAAAATTCAAGTATAACACAATGTTTAAAATTTTCTTCTACAATAAAAATTATTATCATTTTTAAGAACTAGAATATTATCTGTTTATTTTATTGTTACTATTACAAAAGCAACCAAAAAATTATTCAAATGAACTAATCATTAACTATTTTTTATATTTTGTTGTTAATATTTAATAATGACCTAGATAATGATGTTAATTTCAAGTAAATAAATTTATTTATACTACTTAGTTTGAATATAATTTCGAATATATTAGAATTATACATTAGAATTTCTCTTAAACAAATAGAAATTATTATTCTCCATGTTATACTTATTTTAATACTTGATCCTAATATTTGAAATCTCAAATCCCAATGATTATATAAAGTTCAATTATCTTAAAAATCATAAATCAATATATAAAATTTTTTTTTTTTTTTATTATTTCCATAGTTTCTTTTTTAACTATTTTCAATTTTAAATAATCCGAATGCTGAAATTCTAGTAGAAAAAATATATTTATTTTTTTCGTTGTTGATTACTCTTATTATTAACTTGTGAAACAATTTTTGTTTTTTCATCCTTGTATTTAATATCACGATTAAATCTCTGATAATTTGAAATAAAAATAATGTAAAAAAAAAAATATGTAGTTCAAATCATTCTTTCTCCTTATTATTAAACTCTCGAGAAAGTAAAATTCAATTTTCAATTGTACATTTTAAAGGATAAACGATACGAATAACAAGAAGGATATCATTACTGATTTAAAATAAGAAAAAAAAAAGAATATTATGTGTGTTTGTATTAAAAAAAAAAAAGAAAAAACAGAAAAAATCTGCATTACTAATAGCAGAATTTTCCTTTTAAAACATTTTTCTTTTTGTTATTGTTTGTTTTTCCTTCTTGCTAAAGATTATTCTCAATAATATCCTGCAGCGAAAATGTACTTGCAAAAACAGTATATTTTAATATAAAAAAAAAATTTTTTTTCTATTTCTTAACTCTTATTTTTCTATTTAAAATAATTTTTTTTCTTTCGTTATTCATTTTTCATTGTTACCACACAGTTTTGGGCCCCATAAGTTTTCATTTATTATATGTTTATCATAATTCTATATACATATATAGAGAAAATGAAGAGGAATTCCCATGGTGCTGAATTGCAAATTTAATCGGGTTAAGAAAGAAAGAAAGATTTTATCCTTTTTAATATTCACTAAATATAATAATATGCAATATTTAGCGTAATAGAAATGCAAATGTTTTTTGTTCTTGTTTTTTTTTGGAAAATCGTATATTTTATATAAGAGATAGAGAAAAAGGAAAATTCAAAATAAACATTATGGTGACGATATTTTTGTTTTCATTTTCCTGTTTGGTGGTTAGATTATTCATAGAATTTAACTAATTGTCAACTTTTTGAACTATAAAGGACTTTCAATTTTTAAAACAACAATAATAAAAAAAAATTGAAATAAGAGAAAATGAAAAAGTTTTATATTTTTTTTAAAAATAAAACATTTAGATTTCGGTCAACTCTCATAATGAATTTTTATTTTTTCCTTTTTTTTTTCTGAGTTTAATAAAAGTTTAATGGAATGTTCTTAAAAAAACTAAAATGAAAAATAATTATTTAGAGTGAAAGTTGAATTACTTATTCTTTTGATTTCTGTTGTGAACTAGAACTCTAAAATGAAAATAATTTTTAGATGTTATGAGTTTTTAAAATAAAAAATTTCAATTTCGCCTTTTATAAAAATTTCCGAATATTTTTAATAATATTGTAAAATATGGCTGGATGAATTCTCCATTTCATTAGAATTATTTTATATTTTCATATTAGAATTGTTTTCCAATTAAAGAAAAAGAGCATTGTAATCAGAGATTAAAAAAGTTTAAAATTTATTTATTAAACAATTTTTGAAAACGGCGTTTCGTTTCTATTTAAAATAAATAATAAAAAATGTGTCAGCTTTGAATATTTTAATCACGAACTGAAAATGAAGTCATGGTTTATTTCAATTTGAAAAAACGGAACATCATTTTCGAAAACAATTTTCCATTATTGAATTTTATTGCTCATGGAATCAGTCTTTTTTTTTGGCAGAATTTCCATTGAGTGTATAGAAAATATTTTTCAAAATATGCATAGAATTGTTGCTTATCAACACTTTTCCTTAAAAATAACTTGAAGATTTTCGAAATATTTTAAATTCATTTACAAAATAACTAATTTTTTTTAGTAATTTGTCAAACTATTAGGGTAATTTTAATCTTTGAATACTACGTTACGATACGAGATTAAAATTTCAATATTAAGTGGACATTGGATCTCTTGTTTTTAAAAATAACAAAGTGCAGATTATTGATGATAATAAATCTCCATCTTTTTCAAATAATATTCAAAATAATAAAAGAAAAATAGAAAATTATAAAACATTTTACAGAATTTTGTATATAAAAATGCAAAGTTACATAACAAAATAAAAGAATTGAATCAGATTAAAATTTAAATGGAAAGAGGATAAATAAGAAGGACAAAACAAAAATTATGTTAAGAAAAAAAGTACAAGGAGAAAAGACAAGGAAATTCAAAAAAAAAAAAACAGAGAAAAGATTTCAAAAAGTTTTTTTTTCCTTATCTCTTAAAATTT